GAAAAATCAGGAGGGATAGCTCGGGAGGAAGGGGTCGTGGCCCCAGGCCAGACCACCCAGTTCACGGTTCCAGTGCCCGGAAAGTAAGTCTCCATAACTTCTTGCTGTAAAACCAGTGGGGGTGGGAGTGGCAAAAGAAACTACAGGATTCTCAAGAGACTCCTCTTAAAGGGCTTACAATGGATTTAGGACTTACGCAGACCACCCTCTCTGGGATTCAGGACCAGGACAACAGCTGGAAGAGCACCCTGGCATACGGGGAGAAATTGAAGAGACTGGAAACAGTGTGAGTGCCTGGAGATAGCTTCCTCCTGAGCAAAACTCCAGAGACCAGGCAGCAGCACTGACCCCTCTCCAAGCCCTCCCTCCACACGGAGCCACAGAGTGGTGACAAGGGTTGCCCCACTCGCGATTACCAGAAGCTCAGCGCCATACAACGTACAGGTGCGTTTTTCTACAATAGGCCATGCTACTAAGACAGAGAGTGAAAGCAGTTCTACCTAATGCCAAGAAACAAACACAGGGAGGCTGCCAAAATGAGAAGACAAAGAAATATAGCTCAGATGAAAGAACAGAACAAAATTCCAGAAAAACAACTAAACAGAATGGAGATAAGCATCCTATCAGATGCAGAGTTCAAGACACTGTTGTCAGCATGCTCAAAGAACTCATTGGGTACTGCAATGGCATAAAAAAGACCCAGGCAGAAAATAAGGTTACATTAAGTGAAATAAAGAAGATCTATAGGGAACCAATAGTGGAGGGGATGAAGCCAAGAATCAAATAAACAATTGGGACATAAGAAAAAAAGCATTCAATCAGAACAGCAAGAAGTAAAAAAGAATTATTTTAAAAAATGAGGATAGGCTAAGGAGACTCTGGGACATCTTTAAACATACCTTCATCCGAATCATAGGGGTCCCAGAAAGAGAAGAGAAAGAGCAAGAAATTGAAGACTTATTTGAAAAAATAATGAAATAAAACTTCCCTAATTTGTTGAGGGAATAGACATGCAAGTCCAAGAAGCACAGAGAGTATCAAGAAATGGACCCTAAGAGGACCACAGTAAGACACATAATTAAAATGCCAAAAGTTAAAGATAAAGAGACAATCTTAAAAGCAGAGAGTTACTTACAAAGGAGTTCCCATAGGGCTGTCAGCTGATTTCTCAAAATAAACTTTGCAGGATAGAAGGGATTGGCAAGAAATATTCAAAGTCATGAAAAGCAGGAACCTACAGGCTAGATTACTCTATCCAGCAAAGCTATTATTTCAAATTGAAGGGCAGGTAAAGTGCTTCCCTGCGAAGATAAAACTAAAGGAGTTCATCAACATCAAACCATTATTATATGAAATGCTAAAGTACTTTTTCAATAAAAAGATCAAAACTATGAACAATAAAATGGCAATAAATCACAACTATCTAAAAACCAAAGCAAGCCAAAAAGCAGAACAGAAACAGAATTATAGATATGGAGGTCATTTGGAGGGTTATCAGTTGGGAGGGGGCAGGGGGAGCATGGAGAAAAGGTGCAGGGATTAAGAAGTACAAGTTGGTAGGTACAAAATAGCCAGGGGGATGTTAAGAACAATATAGGAAAAGGAGTAGCCAAAGAACTTATATACATGACCCATGGACAAGAACTATGGAGATTGTGGGAGGGAATGAGGGTACTGGGTGGAGGGGAACAAAGGGGGAAAATTTGGGGACAGCTGTAATAGCATAATCAATATAATATATTTAACATATTTTTTTAAATTAAAAGGATTAGGTACTATTCTTCCTTATATTTTGAGACAATTCACCAGTGAACTCTATGGCCTAGAAATGTTTGTGAGTGGTAAGGTTCAGTTTAACTGATGTAGGGTGGTTCAAATGTTCTATTTCCTCTTAATGTTCATTTCAGGAAGTTGTGTTATGGAACTTGTCTATTTCCCCTAAGTTGTCAAACATAGGAGGAATAAAAGTTGTTCATATATTACTTATCATTCTTTTGATATCTGTAGGATCTTAAGTGATGTCCTCTTTTTCATTCCTAACATTGTTAATTTGTGTTTTTTTCCTTATTTTCTTAATCAATTGTTAGGGGCTTATTAATTATATTAACCTTTTCAAAAAACAAACTTGGATTTATTTCCTGTTTGCTTATTTTCTATTCTATTGACCTCTGTTCTTCATTTTTCCTTCCTTCTACTCTTCTTATTAATTTGCTTTTTCTTTATTGTGGTAAAAATACACAACATAATATACACCATCTTAATCATTTAAAAAAAGATTTTATTTATTTTTAGAGAGAGAGGAAGGGAGGAAAAAAGAGAAGGGGAGAAATATCAACATGGGAGAGAAGCATTAATTGGTTGCCTCTTGTGTGTGCCCTGAATGGGAACCAAACCTGAATCCCAGTTATGTGCCCTGACCAAGAATCAACCTGCAACCCAGGCATGTCCCTGACTGGGAATCTAACCAGCAATATTTTGCTTTGCAGGACAATGCCCAATGCACTGAAGTACACTGGTCAAGGCCCATCTTAGCCATTTTTAAGTGCACAGTTCAGAAGCATTAAGTATATTCACACTGTTGTGAAACAGATCTCCAGAACTTTTTCATCTTGTAAATCTGAAACTCTATGCCCATTGAACAATAATTCCCCTTTCCTCCTACCCCCAATCTTTGATAACCACCATTCTACTTTCTATTTCTATGAATTTGACTGCTTTAGCTACCTCATACAAGTGGAATCATACAGTATTTGTCTTTTTGTGACTGCTTATTTCACTTAGCATAATGTCCTCAAGGTTTGTCTATGTGATAGCATGTGACAGAATTTTCTTCCCTTTTAGATAGAATATTTCACTCATCTTTCCACGAACATTTGGGTTGTTTCTACTCCTTGGTGCTATGACAAATGAATGTGAGTATTCATGTGTGCTATAAACATTGAGATCGTCCTGTCAATTCTTTTGGATATGTATACAGAAGTGGGATTGCTGGATCATATAGTAATTATATTCTCAAACTTTTGAAGAATCTCCATACAGTTTTCCATACTGGCTGTACCATTTTGCAATCTCACCAGCCATGCATAAAGGTTCCAATTTCTCCACATCCTCACTTACACCTATTTTTTCAATAGCAAACATCCTAGTGGATATGATGTGGTAGCTCGTGGTTTTTAGGTGCATTTCTCTGATGATTAGTGATGTTGAGAATCTTTTCAGGTGTTTGTTAGACATTTGTATATCATCTTTGGAGAACTGTCTATACAAGTCTTTTGTTTTATCAGGTTACTTGATATTTTGCTAGAGTTGTACGAGTTCTTTATATATTCTGGATACCTTATCAGATATATGATTTACAAATATTATCTCCCATTCCATAGGTTACCTTTTCACTCTGTTAATCCTTTGAAGCACAAAAGTTTGATGTATTCCTATTGGTCTCATCTTTGGTTCTCTTGCTTGTGTTTTTGGTCTCATAATAAAGAAATCACTGCCAAGTCCAATGTCATGAAGACTTTCCCCATGTTTTCTTCCAGGAGATTTATAGTTTTAGGTCTTATGTTTAGGTCTTTAATCCATTTTTAATTACTTTTGTATAAGACGTGAGAGAAGGGGTCCAAATTCATTCTTTTGCATGTGAATATCCAGTATTCCCAACACTGTTGAAGAGACTGTTCTTTCCCTATTGAGTCATCATGGCACCTTTACTGAAGATCATTTGAGCATATAGATGAGGGTTTTTAATTTTTTAAGACTTTATTTTTTAGAGCAGTTTTAAGTTCACAGCAAAACTGAGCAGAAAGAGCTGAGTTCCCATATACCCCCTGCTTTCTCTACATGCTAATGCTTTTTAAAAGCTTTCTCATGTAAATTTAGATTACTGATTTTAAATCTTTTTTTCTTTACAAATTCATGCATGTAAAGTTATGGGTCTCCTTCTAAACGCTGCTTCGGCTGCATCCCATAAATTGTTGTACTTTCACTATCATTTAAACTATTTTTTGGATATTAAAAATTCCACTGATGTTTCTTTTGACACAGAGGTTTAGTTTTGTTGCTTAGTATCTGCATGCGGATTCCCTGGCTATCTTTTTATTTCTGGCTCAATTCTATTGAGGTTAGTGACTCTAATTTCGAGCTTCTTAAATTTGAGACTTGCTTTATGACCCTGCTTCACAAACTTGATTTTGTTATGATGTATTATTATGGTGCACTCAGACTCCCGCCCCAAACCCCCACCGCGCTTTTGTTGTGGAGAGTGCACTGTGGTGGTTAAACTGTTTTGAAATCCTAAGACAGTATTCCATCATCTGGAGGTTCTCCAGCCTGATACTAGAGTGATTAGGATGAGGTTAAAGCCAGAGTACCCTTTATCAGAATCCTCGGACTTTTGGGGAAGGCTTTCTCCCCTCACGGAAGGGCAAGGCGGTACGATTTATCTAAGCGTCTTCTACCTCGGCGTGGACCGTTCACGGTCCATGTACTTTAGGAAGCGACGTATGCGGTACCCCAATTTTTTTCAATTGGTCGTTTCCTTAGAAGCAACAAAGCTAACAAATTCTCAAAATCCAGAAATTCTCAGAGAGAGAGGTAGCTGGGTGGAGTTGGAGAAAGGTGGAGGAATGCCTCATCTCTGGATTAATGACACCAGGAAGCCTAAGGCAGAAGGGCTTTGAGTAACAGCTTCATTTCCCCTCGGGGTCCAGTAACCCACCCCCGAAGAGCACGTCCCTAACAAATCCTCCCCACCTTCGTCCTTCCCTAGCTACCCAGCAGGGACGAGGTACCAAACCAAACGAGCAAAGATACCAGCGACCAACGGTGTATCACGTGATGGAAAGGAGCCGGAGGACGACTAAGGGAGCCCAAGACAGCCCTGGCCCCTCCCACTTTACGACATCTCAGTGCTCCGCCCCCTACGCCGTAGGGTGGAGCACGAGGCCCCGCCTCCAAGCAGCCTCTGTCGCACTGTCAGACAGGCTAGTAGGGCGTGGCAAGAGGCCTAGCCGCGGCCGGTGCGGAGGAAGGGAGGGAAGGAAGGCGGAGGTCACGTGCGGTCGGCGGCCCTAGGTCACGTGACAGAGCGCGGGGGGCTGGGAGTTCTTCTGAGAAAAGAGGAGTGAAGCCTGGGGGACGCGGTGGCGCGGCTCTGACAATGGTAAGTTCGCTCGTTAGCCTGCAGCTCTAGCCCGGGAGCGCGTGGCAGGACGGCCAACGGCGGTCCCGGCGTCACGGAAGGGGTGGCGGAGCGCGGCAGGAGGGGGCAGGCTAGCGGGGCCGGTTAGGCCTGTCAGGCGGGCCCGGCCGGGTCTGGGAAGTGCGGGCGGCACCGTCTCTTCCCGGTCTCCGCCAGGCCGTAGCTCCTGCGGGCGGCGGAGCGCTTTCCGGCCGATGTCGGAGACTCTGCCCGCGTTCCTCCATCGGCTGTGGGGGCCCTGGTTGGTTACTCGGACCTCACCTCTGCGGGGGCTCGCCGCCGCCTCCCCTTCCAAGGTAGTCAGCCCTTTCTTCCCAGGCAACTTAGGTTTCTTTAACGTGGGACGACTCTTCCCCTTAGTTCCGGAGTCGGAAGAAGAGGACGTAGTCACTGTCTTCCAGAATGTCACTAGCTTGATAAGCTCTGTGATTTATTTATTTTTAACCTGGATACGGTGACATTCTGAGAGTTCCTGACCCCAGTTGCGCCTGATGTTGACACTTGTAGAATGAAAGAGAAAAAAGAAAAGGACGTTGGAATAGGGGACGTTTTTAACTCAACGGACCAAGTTCCGTGCCCGCTGGTTTTCATTTACTTCCCCAAGCTATTTCTAGAAACTTAACGCTTTGGGTTGTTAAAATGGTCTAGGGAGTAGAGGACGGAAAATCAGAGTATTCTAAACAAAGTGGGAATCTTAAGCATGGGCACGATGGCGTTTAACTTTGTGTATGTTGGCAATCTCTGGATTTGATCTCTTTTGGCACATTTTATGGTAGTAGTCGTTTATTCGTTTCATTTAGTAAGCATATCTTGAATGTCTGCTGTGTGCTTTCCCAAAGCTCACCGGTTCAATAAGCTGCATGACACTTCTGGCTTAAGTAAGACGAAGCTCGATTTATTTTTAAAAGTTATGTAAAGAGAGACATGTTCATTCTTAAACTTGGAGCCTTTTTCCCTTTTATTAAACAAATAATTACTTAGGTATATCCAGGTACCCTGAGCAAGACTGAAATAGCTATTGTTCTTGTAGTTTACAATCTAGAGGGAGATACTCATTTGCGTCATTATTTGTTTAACGTGAAAATTACACTTATGATAAATATTAAGTGTTGAGGGACCTTGCCTAGTCAGGAGGTGGGGGAAGTCTTTAATTGAATATAATTTGCAAAGAAAACTTTAAAAGGCCCTCCTATTTTTTGTTTGCATTTAAAATAGTTACCTCTGATAAGTTTTTGAATTATGCTCATGAGCAATTTTATTTTCAAGTTAGTTGTCAAACAATTCTAAGGCTTTATAACCTTGAAATGGGCACACAGGTAATATATGTATGAAAATTTGCTGTTTCATTGCTGTGCATGGGCTAAGTGAGTAAATTTCGAGAGCCTCCCTTCACTCACCTTGAGTTGCATTTCTTTACATCCATTGGACCTACTGAAATTTCTTCAGTGGGAGCTAAAAAGCTTGTCTTTTAATGTAGCTCATATAATTTTGCTAGATGATAATACTCAATTTTGGATTAAAAAAATAATACGAACAATCTTAAGTTAACTTAAAGTCAGTGATGGGAGGTTTAGGCCATGACTAGATTAAAAACAATTGCTGTAATGTTTTAATGGTCATATATTTCAGTCTAGTTATTTAAAGTATTGCTCCTGAGAATCTCATATTCTAAATGCTTGCTTGAAGATATCTTTTCCAGAAAAACTGAGTAGCCTATCACCTTAAAGATCTTAAAGCTGCCTTCTGTAATTTCAGCAAAAGTCTATGTTAATGCATCCTAATCTTATTTACAATTTTTATTCTTGTTTTTTCTCAAGTCTCCACCATCCTAACAATTATGTATTTTGTTTCCTCTTTACATATGAGATGTATTTAATTTGATGGTGAATAATTAAAATTTTTTAATTTTATGACTTAATTGAAATGACAAGATACACATTTTTTTTTACAAGATATACATCTTGAAATAAAAACTTTAAAAGCAAAACTGTGTAGAGAATTTTTCCTTTCGTCTCCTTTTAGAAGGAAAACAAAGAAGAGAAACTTTTTTTCTCAGTTATTTTTTCTTGTTAAATATAAGACATCCACAATTTTTGGAGGCTTTTAGTAAGACTAATTCATTTTTGATACATCGCAGTGATAAAAACTGGATGCTAATCTAGTGTTAAATTCTCATGCTGTCATTAACTAAGCTTTGTTAAAGTGTTATAGTTTACTTCTCAACATGCTATTATTTTGGATATATAATACTAGGTTGTTAAAATATCTTCCGATCTCTTCCAGTCTTACTACTGGGTTGGCCAATAAGTCTGTATGGTTTTTCCTGTAAATAAAAGACACATTTTTCATTTTCACCAATAACTTTATTAATTTGAATATTTCGAATATGTTGACTATCTCCTGCAGGGTATAACATTGACTGTTCTCAATTAATGTCTTGATTTGATCGTTATCATCTTCAACTGGCTGCCTGACTGGAGCATCATCAAGTGGGAAATCTCTAGCACAAACCTTTGCCCCTATTAGTTTTGACACTTTCCATCAATCACAGCACCTTCTCCAGTCACTGCACAGATCTTTTTTTTACATTTCAGTTGTGTTTTTACCTTCCTTGAAATAATAAAGCATAATATCCTGAAAACGTCACTCATTTTCTTCCATCTTCAGTATTTTTTAAATGGCTATACAAAAATTTACCAGTTTTGGTAAGTTTTTTTTTTTAATGCAGGCTGATATGACAGCTGCACAATATAATCTAACAAAATTGTTTCAAATGACATTAAAGGTAACTAAGCGCTACTAGAGCCATCTTACAGAAAAAAACCAAACAAACTTTTTGGCCAACCAAATACTTTTATTGTGTTGAAAATTAAGTCTACTTTTAGTTTTTAGGTATGAAATATTTAATAGATGCAGAAAATAATAAAAGATGCCAGTTTTTACATATTTTAAATGTTTTAGAATTTTTAATTCTTATGTATTGTGTCAAAATAAGACCTGTTTAATTATAATCATGTTACTGGTTGATTGTGAAGTTTTATAGGACAAGTCTATTTTACATTTTAATTAGTGGCAATTTTAAAGATTTTACTCATTTTTTAGAGAGGGGAAAGGTGGGAGGAAGAGAGGGAGAGAAACATCAATGTGTGATTGTCTCTCATACGCCCCCTACCAGGGACCCCACAGGGACCCGGCTGCAACCCAGGCATGTGCCCTAGACTGGGAATTGAACTGGTGATCCTTTGATTCACAGGCCAGCACACAACCACTGAGCCACACCAGCCAGGATGGCAATTTTAATATTTATTTTTGATTACTTGATCTTTTTGAATCAGTCTTCAAATTCAAAGTTCAGCTCTGTGTGTTTGGGTAGATACCTAGGGGGGTAATTGCTGGGTCATAGTATATGTTTATCTTTAATTTTACCAGATAATGCCAACTGTTTTCTACACAGGTGTTTCAATTTCTACTGTCACCAGCACATTGAAGGATTTTAAACAGAATGATCAGATTTATGTTTTAAGAGATCACTCTGGTTGTTATGGCAGAGTAAGAAGGGATGTAGGGTAATAGGATAGGAGACTGTTCTCTGTAAATATTTATTTTATTTTATTTATTATTAGAGAGAGGGGAAGGGAGGGAGAAAGAGAGGGAGAGAAGCATCAGTGTGGGAGAGAAACATTGATCAGTTGCCTCATGCATGCACCCCAACCTGGGACCAGCTGGTTACCCAGGTATGTGACCTGACCAGGAATTCAACCAGTGACCTCTTTGCTGGATGACACGCAACCAACAGAGCCATATTGGTCAGGACTATACTTTTATTTTTTTAAATACTAGAAAATTAGCTTTCGTTCATGACAATAATTCACAACTGTATCTGATATTGGAATTACTAATAGATTTTGTATTACTAATATGCTTTGGCATTCATAGGCAATTTGCCTTTGTCTCTTACAGTTCTGTCATTTTTAGGATTTACAGAACAAGACTTATACATTTTCTTTGTAAAAATTCACAGAAATTTAATTATTCTCTCCCATTAGAGTGAATTTTATTCCAAGGGCCTGCATGTCCTATTCAGACCTATATAGCAGTAGATTTTATAGGAAATAGTACATTGTAATAATTCATTTGGATTTGTACAAGCAGTTTGGATTTATGAATTCTGCTATATTGAAAGGAACTTACAAAATTATAACTAAAGGTAACTTTTCAAATCCAGATATTAAGAATTAATTTTTTATGCCCAGGCTGGTGTAGCTCAGTGGATTGAACAAGGGCTTATGAAGCAAGGGGTTGCTGGTTCGATTTCCAGTTGGAGCACATGCCTGTGTCTGTGTGCCAGGTCCCCTAGTGGGGTGCATGCAAGAGGCAACCACACACTGATGTTTCTCTTCCTTTCTTAAAAAAAAAAAAAAAGAAGAAGAAGAAAAAAATTTTTTTATTTTAGGTTACAGTATTTTGCTATGTATGATTTACACTTTCTTGATCAAATTTTTGAGGGAAAATAAGGATGTGTATTATACACAGGTATAATGAATACATACCATGGGTATAATAATCTGGTGTGTGATGTGCACAAAAACATAGATGCACATTATACACTACAAAAATGGTATTTATAGTAGTTACCTATAGAAATGATTGAAATTATAGCATGTTTAAAATTGTGTGGTTTTGTTACAAAAATCAACATGAATTTATCCTCTTAAGTGTACAGTATTAATTGTAAATTTATTTCCTGTGAATTAACAGATTTGCAGACTCTTTAACTGTAGGTCATAGGTCATTAAACTTGAATTACCAAACAGTGATTGACAGAACATGATCATTATGAGCATTTTTCTTTATTTCAGAGTTTTCTTGGTGGCTTTTTTGGTCCCATTTGTGAGATCGACGTTGTCCTTAATGATGGGGAAACCAGGAAAATGGCAGAAATGAAAACTGAAGATGGCAAAGTAGAAAAACACTATCTTTTCTATGATGGAGAATCTGTTTCAGGAAAGGTAAATCTTTGTAGGATGCTAGAATTAGTCATCAAAGTGGTCTGTGCTGTTTTTGAACTTGAATGATTTTATTGGAGATGGAATTCTTCTTTTAGCTAAAATTCTTGATTCATTAGAACATTTACAGGAAATATTCTTTAAAAATTTTTTAAATTTATATTTTTACAGAAGGGGGAAGGGAGGAAGAGAGGGAAAGAAACATTGGTGTGACAGAAACATCTCAGCTACCCAGGCATGTGCTCTGACTGGGATTTGAACTGGCAACCTTTTGCTTTGCAGGATGATGCTCAGCCAACCGAGCCATACCAGTCAGGGCTATAGGAAAGATTCTTAAGCTGAAAGGGTTACAGGGGTAGAGTCCAAATTAAATTGTATGCAAAATTTTGTGTGTTTGTGACTATCTGCTTCAGAGTTTCTCCAGTGGGGCTGCATGCAATCCATGCAAGGTTTATTTCTTCTGTAACATAAAGCTGAGTTATACAGATTAAGGATAATTCTCTAGTATACCTTTCTGAAAGTTTCTTTCTCATTCTTTGTAGCTTATCTTTCTGTACTACTGCTATTGCATCTCTCATTTCTTGGTACCCTGTAGAGGACTCAAGTATATTTGGAATGTGTCTCTACATGGTCAGATACATTTATGATACCTTCTAGAATGTTTCCCTTTCTCTCCTTTTCCTTATCAAGTTGTATATAAGATTCTTATACTTTAGGAAATATGATCAGTATTCATTAGTCTGTGATACTGAGGAGTGGTCATACCATAGACAAAATCAAGCCATAAAGCATTTGAAATAGTTTTTTTAAGGTAACATATGAGAGTTTTTCTTCCATGCTTGTTAAAGTAATAACAGACAAATGTTTGTATGGAAAATAGCTATAATCCCATCATATGGAAAAAACTTCACTGTTAAAATTTGGGTACATTTCTGCATTAATTAATGTTTATGTGAATATAGTATATTAAGCATACTTTTCCCTATTATTGGACATTTAAGTAGTTTTTATTTTTCAGATAACTTGTATAATCTATCACAATTGTAATACATCTATATATGTAAATTTTCCTCTAAATTTCTGTAGAATAAGTTAATAGAATGAATCCCTAGAAGTGAGTTTTTGGACCAGAAGATGTGAACATTTGAAGGGTGTGACATATGTTAATCTAGAAAATTTGCATCAAATCACATATCCATTATAATGTCTTTTTTCACCCAAAGGATCATTGAATATGATCACTTTTTAATCATTGCTATTGTGATAGGTAAAATGGTATTATAATTATCATTTGGTTGGTATCATGGATAGGTTTAATTTAGGTTTATTAGCCATCATACTGCATTGGCTATTCTACCCTTTGCCAAATTCTATTGCCAATTTAGCATTATATCTGAAATAAATGTTTAGGTTTTCAGCTTTACTTTTCTGGTAGTCTTTCTTTAAAAAGAGAGAGGCAGAGAAGAGGCTTAAAAAAGAGCAGAAAAAATTATCTAACGGATGGAACATGTCAAATGAAAGAAGAGTAAATGAAATAGTGTTTGGTCTATAGAAAAGAAGACATTCATGTGGTGGGATTGGAGGGGTAGGGATACCAATCTAGTACCAGTCTAGTCTTTCTAAGGAAATCTCGAACCTACTGATCCCTCAAATATTTCATTTACAGACATGACAAGTAAATATCTCTACTACTAGGTTAAAAGCTTTTGAAGATCCAGGGAGTCAGTGTGTGCTTGTGTATTCTCTGTATAGTTTATTTATATAATAGTGTCTCACTGAATATTTATTTGACTTCTTTATTTATAGTTTTTTAAGTCTAGTAGGGAACATTCCATCTGTTTTAAAGTAATCTTATGTCATCTATGCCACTTAGGCTGATGTTTATGGAATAAATGAAGGAAAAAGAGAATACTGAAGGAAATATAGCTACCTCAGTATAGTTTTTAAAAAACAGCTGGCATTCAAATGACATTTTTGGAATTGTTAGGGGTTGTATGTAAGCCTAATCAATAACTACTAAACTGAATACATTTAAAAAATGACAAACTTCTTACAGGTAAATATTTTGCTCAAAGGATATTATATCTGGAATCTGATTATTTATTCACCTGAGATTTTTTCATTTTTAACCTTTTTATTATTAAATAAAGCATATAAAAACCACATAAAACAAACATTATGTAAAGCATACAAGTATTTTCTTACAATGACCAAGTCAAGAAGAACTTTGCCAGCTACCTCATATGTTTCATCCCAAGCACAGCCCCTTCCCCTCAAAAGTAACCACTTTGCCAACTTTTAAAATAATAAAAATGTTTCTTAATTGTTTAGTCTTGCTCCTTTGAAACATATTTATATGGCATTTACATCTCTTTTAATCTCAGGTTCCTTCTTCATGCCTTTCTTTATAATTTATCTGTTGAAGAACCTGCGCCATTTGAACTGTAGAGTTCTCTATGGTTGTATACTCATGATGTAGTTATTGCCTGTTAATTGGTAGCTGGATCCAGAGGCTTGAACGTATTCAAGTTTGATTCTTTTGGCAAGAATACAGATGATGGTGTGTTTTTCATCAGGGGGTATGGGATGTCTAGTTTTCTGCTTTTCTCTTTTTTCTTTTTTGCAACTCCTGTAACTGTTGTTAATATTGATTCCTGGCATACCTCTAGAACAAGTCAATAAGTATGATTTATGAGCACTTTGAAAAGAAAGTTTTACAGAAAAAGAAGAAAACAAGCATTGGTTATCTCTGACCCAGCATGGGTCATTTGGAACATGTCTTACCACACCAGCCTGGGCTTGCTGAAATGTCCGGGTATAGAGTTGGGAGATTTAGCCTTGACTTAACTACTGTCTTAGTAGATAACTCTGGGTAGTCGTTTAACTTTCTGGATCTCATTTGTAGATTGAGAAGGTTGGACTGAATCATTATTGGTTTCCAAACCAATTCTCTGCTTGAAAATCCTTCATACATTAGATAAAATCTTGGAGACCTGGGAGGTCTGACATCCCACCCAAAGCAAGAAAAATTCCACTGAACCACACCAGCCAGGGCAGAAATTTTCCTTTTTAAAAAATAGCCTTATTGAGTTGTAATTCATGTCACAAAATCCACTGTATTGAAATGTACAATTCGGTGATTTTTTACTACATTTGCAGAGTTGTGCAACCATCACCACTATCTAATTCTATAACATTTTCATCACTCCAAAGAAACGCCATACCATTTGCAATCACTTCCTTAGTGCCATAGGCTGAATATGTGTGTTCTTGTAAGATTCATGTATTTAAACCTAATCACCAATGTGATGGTATTTGGAAATGGGGACTTTGGGAGATAATTAGGTCGTGATGGCAGAGTCCTCATGAATGGGATTAGTGCCCTTATAAAGACTCCCAAGAAACCCCATGCACCTTCTGCCACATGAGAACGTAGTGAAAAGATAGCCGTCTGTGAACCAGAAGGCAAGCTCTCACCAGACACTAAATCTGTGGGTGCCTTGATCTGGTACTTCCCAGCCTTCAGAACTGTGAACCCGAGTTTTCTGTTGTTTATAAGCTACCTGGTCTATGGTATTTTGTTACAGCAGTCCAAATGGACTGAGACGCCTATTAACCAACCACTAAGATACAAATCTGTTTTCTTTTACTATGGATTTCCCTATCTGGGATGGACATGTCATGTAAATAAAATCATTATGTGTATCTAGCTCCTTTTATGATGTTTTCAAGAGTCATATCTTTAAAAAATTTTGGTAAAATATATGCATAAAGTAAAATTTTCCATTTTTACCATTTCTTAAGTATACAATTTGGTGGTGTTAATTAAATTCCCAATTTTGTACAGTCATCACTACTGTTCCCAGCATTGGTTTATCAATCTGAACAAAACTTTGTACTCATTAAGCAATAACTACCCATTTCTCTTTTCTCCCAGTCTCAGGATACCTCTGATCTACTTTGTTTTTTTATAAGTTTGCCTCTTCTAAACATTTCATATAAATGGTCATACAAGATTGTCCATTTGTGCCTGCCTTATTTCATTTACCATAATGTTTTCAAGGTTCATTCATGTTGTAGCATGTATCAAAACATCATTTTCATAGCTGAATGAAAATTCTAATATATAATCATGTGCTATGTGGCTATGCCACATTCCTTGTTTCATTGATCAGTTAGAACATTTGGGTTTTTACTTTTTGGCTCTTAGGAATAATGTACTTTTGTGAACAAGTTTTGTGTGAATATGTGTTTTCATTTCTCTCGATTATATATCTTGGAGTCTAACTGCTGGGTCATATGTTAACTCTAACTTGTAGAGGACCTGCCAAGCTTTTCCAAAACAGTTGCACTTTACATTTTTCCCAGCAATGTATGAGGGTTCCAGTTTCTCCCATTCTTGACAATGCTTATCATTGTCTATTTTTTGTTATGGCCATGTTGGTTGGTATGCAGTGGGGTCTCTATGGTTTTGATTCGCATTTCCCTGGTGACTAATTATATTGAGCAGGTTATTGTTTGCTTATTGCTGTTTGTATATCATCTTTGGAGAAGAGTCTATTCTTATTCTTTGACCTTTTTTTCATTGAATTATTTGTCTTTTTGTTTTGTTATATATGTGTATATGTATTCAAAATGTGTTATTGGGATGTTTCCCCACTCAGCTTGATTCAGGTGCCTTTAGTGCTCCTTCTCTAAGCCTTGCTTTTCCTCCTATAGGCTGACAGAGGACAGCTGAGCAGTCAACACACAAAACCACTGTCTGTGCATGGCCAAAGACAGTGGTGATTTTATAACATCCTGGGCATTTCACATCCATGAAGTAGGAATTGGGGCTCTGCACCAGGCGCTTCTTGTGTGTTTCCTCTCTTTCTCTTCTGGAGAGGGGTGGAGGAGACCCTCAGTGAGAGGCATGCTGTCATGGGGAGGTCATCACTGCTGGAAAGGTGTCTTTGTTGACTTGTCAAGTTCTTCATATAATTTGGATACAAATCCTTTATCAGTTATGTTTTACAAATATTTTCTCATTCTGTGAGTTGTCTCTTTTTTCTTTCGAAGCACTAAAGTTTTACATTTTGATGAAATACAGTTTATTTTTTTCCTTTGCTGTTTGTGCTTTTGGTGTCATCTAGGAAAACATTGCCTATCCAAGGTAATGAAGATTTACACCTATCTTTCCTTCTAAGACTTTTGTAATTGTAGCTTGTACATTTAGGTTTTTGATCCATTTTGAGTAATATTTGTATATGGTATAAGGTAGGGATCCAGACTTCCGTCCAAGATGGAGGCATAGGTGGAAACACTGTACCTCCTCACACAAACAAATTTAAGAACAAAGATTTAGAAACAAAAACACATCCAGAACAGACAGAAAATTGAACTGTACCGAAGTCCAACAACAATGAACCATTCATCCAGACCACTGAGAGGGGCAGGGTCCACGGCTGGCGGAGAGGGGTCCCAGGAGGAAGAGGCAGTGGTTAGCAGAACCAGGTGTGGGGACAAATGGAGCAAACCCAGTGAGGTGCGCAAGGCGGTTGGCTGACTGCGGACACACACTGGAGTGCAGATAAACCAGGCAAAAAGGCCATGAGACAGACTGCGCAACCCAGGGCTCCAGCAATGAGAAATAAAGCCTAAAAGCACTGGTTGGAAAAACTTTGGGGGGTTGAGGTGCCGGGAGAGGCTCCCAGCCTCACAGGAGAATTCGTTGGAGAGACCCACAGGGTCCTAGAATGTACACAAGCCCACCCACCTGGGAACCAGCACCAGAAGGGCCCAATTTGCTTGTGGGAAGCAGCAGAGGGGACTGAAATCCAAGAGAGAGCAGAATAAGAGCCATTGCTCCCTCTCTGACCCCACCCCCACATACAGTGTCACAACCCAGTAACTGGGTTGCCCTGCCCTGGTGAACACCTAAGGCTCCACCCCTCATAGATAACAGGTTCGACCTGCCAAAAAATTATGGCTCAAACAGAACAGATCAAAGCCCCAGAGCCAATACTTCTAAGTGACAAAGAGACAGCCAACCTATCAGATGCACAGTTCAAAACACTGATGATCAGGATGCTCACAGAACTGGTTGATTTTGGTCGCAAATTAGATGAACCAATGAAGGTTACACTAAGTGAAATGAAGGAAAATGCACAGGGAACCAATAGTGATGTAAAGAAAACTGGGAGTCAAATCAATGGAATGAACCAGAAGGAAGAAAGAAACAACAGAACAAAAGAATGAAGAAACAAGAATTCAAAAAAATGAGGAGAGGCTTAGAAACCTCCAGGACATCTTTAAAAGTTCCAACATCCGAATTATAGGGGTACCAGAAGGGGAAGAGGAACAGCAACAAGTGGAAAACTTATTTGAACAAATAATAAAGGAGAACTTCCCCAATCTGCCAATGGAAACAGACTTCCAGGAAGTCCAGGAAGTGCAGAGAGTCCCAAAGAAGGTGGACCCAAGGAGGAACACACCAAGGCACATCATAATTACATTACCCAAGATAAAAATGAAGGAGAGAATTCTAGAAGCAGCAAGAGATAAGGGGACAGTCACCTACAAAGGAGTTCCCATCAGACTGTCAGCTGATTTCTCAAAAGAGACCTTACAGGCAAGAAGGGGCTGGAAAGAAGTATTCCAAGTCCTGAAATCCAAAGACCTATATCCTAGACAGCTCTCTTCAGCAAAGTTTTCATTTAGAATGGAAGGGCAGATAAAGTCAAACTGTTCATTGAATTTTGTGTCAGTGTGGGATGTCTCTTACTGTATCCTAGAACCCCAGGATTCCGGGATGTGGTAAAGTGGCAGTGGTGATGAGTAAATTGTCTTGAAGTGATGGTACCAGGACCTAGCCACTTACAGTGAACTCTGCATCTGTTCCTTATGGGAAAAGTGAACAAAGCCTGAAATTACAGAAGTTATAATTTAGATCTTCAAGCAAGGAATAATTATTATAGTATCTCATGTCAGCATGATATGGACCATATTCTTCCAGCAGCACTTGGGAACTAATCTTGGATAACTACAGTCTCCAGCAACAATAATGTACAGACATCTTGGTGTCCCCTGTAATATACTGAAATGTATTTGTCTTAATACAATACAGATGAATTTTACCCCCTTAAAAGCTTTGAGATTGGCTTGTTAGAGCTGTTTTCATGGCCTTTTACATACATATACATAGCCTCAAGTTTTTATACTGTAATTAGTTATTAATAGCAAAAGGAAAAATAGTAACTTTAAATTGGAGAAACCTGAAGGGTCACCTTGACTAAGTTATCAAAGTGAACATCACCAATATGAGAACAAACTGGCATCATGTGCTTCCTAACAGGATATACTGAGAAGGACACGACTTCTCTTCTGGGGCGTTCTTGCCCAAAATGGGTAAGCTCAGTCTGATTGTGATAAAACATCAAACAAAACCTAAATTGAGAGACATTCTACAAAGTAGCTGACTTGTATTTTTAGAAAATGAAGGTCAAGAGAGGCAATGACTGAGGAATAATCTAATGTCCTAGATTAAAGGAGACGAAAGAAAAATAACTATAGGTAATGTATGATCCTGGATTGGACCTTGATAGGAGGAAAAAGGGATATAAAATACATTATTGGGACAGTTGATGGAATTGAACATAGACTATGGAATGTTAACTCTCCTAATTTTGATAATTGCAGTATGACTATGTAAGAGAAAGTCCATTTCCTTAGCAGGCACACATAAAGTGTTTAGGGATAGCAGGGCATGATGTCTCCAGTTATTCTCAGTCGTGAAAATAAGTCATGTATGTATGTATGCATGCACATGTGTATATATAGAGAAGATGATAAAGCATATGGGACAAAATATAAACACCTGATGGGTCTGAGTAAAGGTTATGTGGGATTTCCTTATGCAGTTTTTGCAGCTTTTCTCTCAGCTTGAAATTACATAATTAAAAGTTACAAAAGTGTGACTGAGTTGGTGTTAAAATTCTGTACCAGTTCACATCATAATTTCATTTATTTTTCTATGCCTCTTTGCAGAATAGCTTTTAAGCCAGTATACTTAATTATTCCTTCCTATTCTAGGATTCTTAAGATTCCAGAATAGTTTGAATTAGGCTTAAAAGCAGTTATATTTTAACATCAGTGGGAATCAAGGACAATTTCAGCATGTAAGCAGTTTGGTGGGAAAACAGAACAACTTTGCATTTCTACCTTTTGTGGTTTCCAAGTGGGTTTTTTTTTAACTGTAAATTAAAAAAATGTCAGATACAGCCATGTTCAAATACATTATTATAAACTTGCCAAATAGACATTTTTTAAAGTATACGTTTTTCTATGTGCTATATTAGCACAAATTAAAGAATAGCTATAATTACTGCTTGGCATACGAAACAGCTGGGAGTTATGCTTGTTTTATTTGTGCTTCAAACCTGAAATTTAACTTTTTCACTGTGTGTGAAACATATTTAAGTATTACCTTTTTTCCTTAAGTATTTTTCTAACTTTGAAAATATTATTTGCCTAATATTTAAAAAAATGAAAAAACCCTTGAGAACTACAAAGAAGAAAACAGAATTACTCATAACCATACTTTCCAGAATAGTCTTAACTGTTGTGAACAGTATTTCTTTTCTGTAGTTGAAAAAATATGTAATTGGCATGAGTTGTATACAGTTTGACCATGCTTCTTTCATGTAACATATCATGCACATCTTCCCACATCATTAAAAATTCTTTGTCCATATTATTTTTAAACTTTAATAATATTTCATTATATGATGTACCACAATTTAATTATTTACTTATTTTTCTGAGATATTTTAATTTCAAAGACAAGTAACTAACACATCCTGGTTACAAATATGGAAGATACAGAAGAGTGATTGTTTTAATTTATATAGTTTGTAACAGAAATAATTGGACCTTTTTTTATTGGTCTTTGATTTCCATTATCCTTTGAGAAGCACTGTTGGAAGGAAAAGCTTTCAACAGTCAAATTACTAATATTTTTTATATAAAGCATATGCTTTTTTGTTTGTTAGCTAGTCCTTAAACATTTGAATTTTTTAAAAAGGTTTTATTTATTTTTAGAGAGAGGGGAAGGAAGAGGAAAGAATAGAGGGAGAGAAACATTGAGCAGCTGCCTCTTGTACTCACCCAACTGGAAACCTGGCCCACAACTCAAGCATGTGCCCCGACTGGGAGTTGAACCAGTGACCTTTTGGTTGGCAGGCTACATTCAATCCACTGAGTCATACCAGCCAGGGCTGGAATTTTATTTTTAGTATGTATGTACTTTACAGATATTTTGTCAACTTAAACATTTATAAGTTTACAGTTTTCATTTGGCAGATATGAATTCAGGATTTTGAGATTATGTATTTTGCTTCATTAGTATGTAAGATAAATCACATTTAAAATTTAAATCTTTAAACATTCTGTCTTTAGGATGAGTAGCAGACTCAGGACAAAAATTGCTCTTAAGGTTAGAAATCAACAATTTAGCCTTGATTACCAAAAGCTGAAAGTGATCATTTAGGTCAGTTCTTGGAATTAGTGATTTACCTTACATTAAAATGCTATTGTAGGATTGTTAAAATATTTGACCAGAAAACACATTTGAATAGTTGAAAGTTTTCCCTTTTTTTTTTGATTGAGTCTTTATAGCTCTCCAGCTATAAGAAGGGTTCCTTCCTAGCAAAGCTTTAAGTATACATGTAAGTACTAGGTTCATTAGTAATTGTATATGAGTAAGTTATACATTCTCTGGGCTATAAAGGTCATTGTGATCTAGGTATGTGGTGGTGTCTCCAACTTCAAAAATAAATACCTGAAGTATTTACACATTGCATTCATCTGGAAGGAATCAGTTGGTAGGCCCACTCAAAGGATTAACATCTCTTACAATTTCATGTTTTGGCAGGTAAACCTAGCCTTTAAGCAACCTGGAAAGAGGCTAGAGCACCAAGGAATTAGAATTGAATTTGTAGGTCAAATTGGTGAGTTGTAAAATAGTATTACTTTTTTTTCTTTGATAATTAGAGGGTTGGATTTAGCACTTAAATAATTGAATTAGAGCTTAGCTTTGTGGAAGGGCTTGATTTTGCATAATAAAAGAGGATTTATTTTACAAACATTAAATTGTGTTTTAATTGTATTAAATGTCTGACTCATCCTGCTTTTTATTATTAAAGTTAATAACTAAAAAGGAAAGGAGTTAACTGGCCTTGAAAAATAATTCAGGTAAATTAGTTGACTCACTGAAATTTCCATCTGCCTACATTTTTTTCACCATCTTTACTCACAAGTATGTGTCACCTTCATCTGTCACTTTCTAATTACCTATGCCATTTGTCTTCCTAACCTAGTATGTGCTTGTAGCCACTCACCTGTCAACAGAAACTTCCATGTGAAAAGGAAAGGCATAATTTCTTCTTGACTTAGATCAATCTCTGTACATTTCCATACATATATTCAGAGACATTTTTGATTTCACAGGAGTTTAACTGTATAAGTCTTTTGGTACTGCAGATTGAAAAAATAAAAAAAATTAGTCTTTATAATACTGTATACATAGCTAGTAAATTTTAAAATCTAGTCTTCTAACTTTTATTGTGCATTCTTAAAGCATCAAACTTGGAATGGGTACATGTTTATTTACATGTCTGCTCTAGATAAGATTTTGCTTGAGGGCCAAATTTTAGTAATTAACTGATAGTTGATTTTAGTTCTTTTGTGTTATATATAGTTTTATCAAGGTGATATATTTGCCTAACTAAAGCAAAAGAATAAAACACTTTTTGCCTTGAGGGGAGAGGGTTCAAATAATTGCTGGAAATGTGTCTTTTAAAAACAGCTTTGTATTGGGCAAACCCTAACTACATTAAGGAAGTTAATTCATTTTTGTTTGCTTTGGAGGTAGAAATTTGGGTTTAAATGAAATGATATTAAATATAATTGGTCTTTTTTCCTTTTTAAAATCTCTAGAACTTTTCAATGACAAGAGTAATACTCACGAATTTGTAAACCTAGTGAAAGAACTAGCCTTACCTGGAGAACTGACCCAGAGCAGAAGTTATGATTTTGAATTTATGCAAGTTGAAAAGCCATATGAATCTTACATTGGTGCCAATGTCCGCTTGAGGTATGAATAAGGTGTAATAGAAACTGTACAGGGTCAAATCTAGAAAAATGATAGTTATCAGAACTTCTATTATAATTCTGGACTGGAAGACTTAAAGAGTTTTAAAAATTCTGTCAAATATTTTGGTTTGTGTGGCTAATGGTGATCTGAGGTAATAAGAACCTTCTATCATTATAGATTTAGGAAACCTTGTTATGAGAAGTTTTAGTCTTATATACTTCCTTTGTATGAATTGTCCCTAATATTTTATTTGTTGTGTAAATGGAATTACTCTCTGAATCCATTAGTTTCCCAAAAGCTCTCATTTATCATTTCCTATGTGGTCAGAATGGTTTAGAGGCATTTGCTCCAGTAGGCCTGATGATAGCACTCCAAATTCATCTGAAAAGTGTCTACACTAGTATTGAAATTGAACTGTGGTTTTTTACATTTTTTTTTCTCCTAGTAGGGGCATTTATTTAAAATTAGAATTCCTTCATGAAGTAAGTTAATTACAAAAGAGTTCTAGCACGGGAAAGCTGAGTTAAACAGTTAATGTTTGGTTTTTTTAAACACTGAACTTTATCTGAGATTCCATTAACTTTGTAGGTATTTTCTTAAAGTGACAATAGTAAGAAGACTGACAGACTTGGTAAAAGAGTATGATCTTATTGTTCACCAACTTGCTACCTACCCTGATGTTAACAACTCTATTAAGATGGAAGTGGGCATTGAAGATTGTCTACACATAGAATTTGAATACAATAAATCAAAGTAAGTACCTTTCACAAACACATAACTTAAATATTTGGGGAAAATGAAGAAGAAAGCTTTTTAGGTTTTTGTAAATTGGTCAAAACGAGGGTAGAATTGACATTAACCTGATTTAACAGACCAACAGAATCGCTGAGCTGGAAGAAACTTTAGAAGTTTGTTCTGGCTTCTGACACAGTGCAAGTGCCTTTCATATTCTATCCCAGAGAAGTCTCTGCCTGGTCGTTTTTTGTAGAGCATCTTACCATCTCAGAAGGTAGTTAATCCCTTATGTCCATAAAAATTTACTTGATTGGCCTGACATCACTTTGGTCATCTTTTTAAAACTAAATAAAAACACCTTTTTTCCCTGACAATCAATTAATACATTTTCATTATTAAAAATTTTGATTATGTGGGAGAGTGAAAGGAATTAAAAATATCACATATTTTCACCTCTCTATATATATATATAGAGAGAGAGAGATATATACATAGAGATAGAACAAACATAGTTTGTTCGAATCAGTATTCAGACAAAATTTGTTCAGATTCAGTGCATCCAAACACATTGCACTTGGTTGTTTGACTTTTAAATCTCATTTATAGGTTTTTCCTATTATTTTTTTATTAAAGTTTATTTGTTGAAGAAATGGATGTATACATGCTGTTAGCCCCGTTCTGTGCACTCTTCTGTTATATGACTTTTATTAGTTGTCCCTCCCCAGTTTGTATCACCGAAAATGTGAAATGTCCATTTAGTTTTTTCGATAAACTAAAAGACACATTTTTCATTTTCACTATAATTTCATTGATTCGGATATTCTGAACATGTCAGCTATCTCCTGCTATTGGCTTCTGGTGGCTAGAGGCCAAGGTGCTGCTAAACATCTTCCAATTAATAAGACAGCCCCATAGCAAAGAATTATTTGGCCAAAATGTCAATAGTACAAAGAAACTTGCAAACCACTTTTGACATGATTGATCAGTCACAGCACCTTCTGCATACACTGCATGAATCTTTTTTGTGTGTGTGTTTCAGTTGCATTTTCACCTTTCTTGAAGTAATAAAGCACAATATGCCAAAAATGTTGCTTATGTTCTATCTTCAATGTTAAAATGGTTGCACAAAAATTCATCAGTTTTGATAAGTGTTTTTTAAAATGCATGCTGATATGACAGCAGTCACAATACAATCTAACAAAATTGTTTTGAATTAAGTTAAAGACAACTAAGCACTACTAGAGCCATCGAACAGAAAAAATGGAATGAACTTTTTCACCAACCCTATATATTGTTGATAAAATTTTCACATAGTTTAGGAGTTAAAAACCTGAAACTGGGAACCTCCCTTCAGACTGACATCTGTATCAGTCAATTCCTGCAATATTATTTTGAGATCCAAACCTGGGAAGAAGGCTTAAAAAACCTTCTGGGTATTGTGGGAATTCCCAATTTTATTACCATTTCAAGTTACTGCCTTTGATTATTAGATATTACAGCAACAAACTCAACTAGGAAATCTCTCTTTGAGTCCAAGTGATTTGTTAGCTACACTATTCTAGCACTGGAGTTGTACTGACACTAAACTCTTGTGTAGAGTTTTTATTGTTCAGCAACAATTCCATACACCAAATGAATATTTCAAGTATAAAAATCTTAACTTTCCATGCTTAAGTTCTTTGGAAACTAAGTTAACCTCTGAGTAAGGACTAACAATCAGGCTGTTTTCATTCTTAGGTATACTGATAATTTGATTCCTTATTTTTATAGTACAGTTGTTCACTGTGTAATGGCATTTCATTCAACAACACACCACATAGACAAAAGTGGTATAACATAAGCCTCAGTGAATAGTAGGCTAGGTTTGTGTAAGTGCATTCTATGATGTTCACACGACAACAAGATTTCCTAATGATGCCTTTCTTAGAACGTATCCCCATCATTAAGTGGTACATACTGTAAATTGATTAACATGTTTTGAAAAAGAGGAACATAAACAATACAGATAATTATTTTGACTATTCTTAAATAGTTATTAATGTAAAGATGTTCAATAAAGCCTTTAGGGCCTTTATCACTCTTTTTTTTTTTAACGATTTAGTAAATGAGATATATTCTTTCCCCAAAGGTATCATTTAAAGGATGTGATTGTTGGAAAGATTTACTTCTTATTAGTAAGAATAAAAATCCAACATATGGAGTTACAACTGATCAAAAAAGAGATCACAGGGATTGGTAAGTTGAAACAGTATTTGAATGAAAATTCCTGTTTAAGTTGAGATTTTAAAATTTCATTTAAACATAAAATAAATATTCACACCAGGTACTAACTTTGGTACTTAATATTGCTGGCAGTAATTTATTTGTTTATGTGTTTTAAAAAATTGACTTTTGAATGCAATAGTTCCTGTGTATCTGTGGAGGATACATTTTAAGACCCAGAGTGGATACCCGAAACTATGCATAATATTGGACTCTGTATATACTTTGTTTCTTTCTATATATACAAACCTATGGTAAAGTTTAATTTATAAGTTAGGCACAGTAAGAGATAAACAGTAATAATAGTAAAATAAAACAGTTAAAGAGCATATTATAATAAAAGCTATGTGAATGTGGTCTCATTCTCTTTCAAAATATCTTAAAAAAAGATATTATTTATTTTTAGAGAGAGGGGAAAGGAGAAAGAGAGGGAGAGAAACATCAGTGTGTGGTTGCCTCTTGTTCACCCCTACTGGGGATCTGGCCTGCAACCCAGGCATATACCCTGACTGGGAATTGAACTGGTGATCCTTTGGTTTGCAAGTTGGCACTCAATCTACTGAGACACACCAGACAGGGTCTCTTTAGAAATATCTTATTGTACTGTACTCACCCTTCTTTTGATCATATGAGATAATACAATGCCTATGTGATGAGATGAAGTGAGGTGAATGATGTAGGGTTACTTGAACACAAGCCCTGTGGCACCGTGACAGTTGATATGATAACTGAGGTGGCTACTATGTGAGGAATAGGCAGCTTATACAGCATGGATACACTGGACAAAAGGATGATTCATGCCCTAGGCAGAATGGAGCAGGTTGGCATGATACTCGGAACAGCAAGCAATTTAAAACTTATGAATTGTTTATTTCTGGAATTTTCCAGTTAATATTTTTGGATCATGGTTGACAGCAGGTAATTGAAACCACAGATAAGGGGAGAGAACTATAGGTATAGGTAGTAAATTAGCATGATTCAGAAATAAAGTATGAGAGACTATACAGTAAAAAGTGTCCTACTTCTGTATTCCAGCTCACAGGTAATATGTTTATAAGTTTTAAAATCCTTCTAGACTTCCTTTTTATCTAATATCTTATTGAGGCAGCAGTGGTAGCAAGTGCTCTTTGAGTTTCCCTATGGATGACAAGAAGAAAGATGTCAGAAAGTCAGCCAAGAAAGACAGAGACCCAGTGAATAAATCTGAGGGCACAGCCAAACAGAAGAAATGGTCCAAAGGCAAAGTTTGGGAGAAGCTCAATAATCTAGTCTTTGACAAAGCAGCATGACAAACTCTGTAAGAAAGTTCCTAACTATCAGTGAAATTCCAGCTCCTTATAACCCTGGCTGTTGTCTCTGAGACATGAAAATCCGTGGATCCTTGGCCAGGGCAGCCATTCAAGAGCTCCTTACTAAAGGACTTATTCAACTAGTTTCAAAGCACAGAGCTCAAGGAATTTATACTAGAAACACCAAAGGTGGGGATGTCCCAGCTGCTGGTGAAGATGTGTGAACAAAAGGTCCCACAAACTGTACATTTTGAAAAAGGAAACTTTGTTAAATAAAAAACCTCCTAAAGCGAACCACACGATCGCAGTTCGATTCCCAGTCAGGGCACATGCCTGGGTTGCAGGCCAGTTCCCGACAGGGGACTCACAAGAGGCAACCACACATTGATGTTTCTCCCCTTCTCTCCTTCCCGTCCTCTCTAACAAATAAAATGGAAAAAAAAACCCTCCTAGAGATTTATGCACATAGGTCCAAGTATCTCTAGTTAAATGGTTACAGTACAAACTTGCTTTTTCACTTATATCTTACAGATCTTTTCATATCAGCATGTAAGAATGGACACTTCATTTTTTTTTATGGTACTACATTTGGTGTATGTAGTAGAATTTAACCACTCTTACATTGGTGTACATACAGGTGGTTTCCAGTCTTTTGTTATTAAAAAAATGTTTGAGTTAATGATGTCATTTTGGCCCTGGCTGGTGTGGCTCAGTGGACTGAGTGCCTGCCTGTGAACCAAAGGGTCATCGGTTTGATTCCCAGTCAGAACACATGCCTGGGTTGAGGGCCAGGTCCTCAGTAGGATCAATCAAGTATATAGTTTATGTTAAAGTTAACTTTAACTCCAGGAGAAGACAGTTTGGGTGTTGCAGAAAAAACTAAGAAGTCAGTTGTTGGCCCTGATGTGTATTGCTAGTTTTCAATTTGGAAACTATAGAAGGAACTCTGTGAAGAAGATTATCTCATAGATAATCTTTGGGAGGAAGGGAGTGAAACATCAATGAGTGTGATGTCTAGATCATGAAATAGAAAAGAATGATCAGCATTTTCACAAAATGGAAAGATAAATTAGTACTAAAATAATGTAGAAAAACAGGGAAAAAGTGTTAAGACTGGGCATTATATTCTGGAAATATTTAAATTAATATCATTTACATTATTGCACTAGGACCCAGTACCACAACAGAAACAGAAACAATTGCTAAATATGAAATAATGGATGGTGCACCGGTCAAAGGTAACATAACTTTTCATTTGTTTCTTTTGTATTATAGATAGTGCAAACAGCAGTGCTTGTCTGAAAGTATTTATTAACAGTGAGAATTTTTGTGAATCCTTCAATGATTCCTATGGTAGATGGTTTTAAACGTCATCTTTGTATATATACTGAGAAGACCGTAATAGTATTTTTTAGTCTGAAATAAGGTTTAATTTTTTTACTCAGTTTAAATTTAGAATTTAGAGGATATGTATGTCTTTTCTCTCATTTTGAATTTATAATATTTTGATTGTCTTCTGTTATAGTAGTTCATCTCTATAAATCTTTTTTATTCTTGCTGAACATAAGATGCAGTATAGGTTAGTATTAATGCTTGTGAGATTCTAGAGTCCTTATAGCCCCCGAGAAAATAACCAGTTCCATTACTAGATAATCTTCAATGTGTAAAGTAGTGAAGCCAATATTTATTATTTGAACCTATGTCCTTGTCTTTGTTATTGTTAGTAATTACTTCAAAAAGTAGCTGTCATTTTGAGTGCCAGTTACTCTCAGGTGCTCTAAAGTTCCCTACCACCCTTTAAGTTAGGTGGTGGTATCCCTTATTTTACAAATGAAACCAAGATGCAAACCAGTTAAAAAACCTGTTAAAGGAGATAGTGTAGGGGAGGCGGAATTTTACTTTTACCCATCTTAGGTTTTCACCTGGTACTGTTAAGAAAAAGATTAATAAGAGAGTAGAGTTTCTTCAATGCATGCAGTACACATTGTACAGGAGTAAACCTCAACAAAAAATGTAAGTCAAAACCATGGCTTAGAATTTCAGCTTATATAGCATCTTCGAAAGAACAGTAAATTTGGAGAGAAATGACCAGACAAAAAAACGTGAGTTTTAGCCTTCTAAGGGTGGCACACTGGGAAGTAAACAAATGGGAGGGAACTAACACAGTGAGGTTCAGTTGCAGATTCCTCTGGTGCCATCCCTGGGCTAGTCTGTCTCCAGTAAAAGGAGAATTTATGTCTTGTCTTAAGACAAAAGGGCCAGCCTTTTCGCCTTTGATGCTTTTTGACTGCCTTTGGCTCAAAATAATTTTTATGTCCGAGGCATATTTTGTGATGACATATTCTGGTTTCCTTCAATAGCTAATAATTGCTGAGATGGAGTTTGAGCCCAGGCTTTTCTGACTCCAAGATCCATGTGTGTACTCTTAAGTTAAATAGTATTACTTTGTAAAATTCAGTAGCTGCAACTTTTTATGTAAAGTGGTCAGTTGTATGTCTCAGGAAATAGATATGCACAAGAAAAGTATTATATAAAAAGATTCCAAATGGAATATGCAAATAATTACCCTTAGGAAAACAGAAGGTATGAAAATCTGAATAACAATTTTTTTGGTAATAAAAGCATGTCATCAATCTGAACATGTTTGCTGTTTTGGATGAATTAGTAATAAGTATTCAAGAATTTACACACATGATTAGAAATTATGGTCAACTTCATAAAAGTAGAAAATAATAAAACTACTACAAAGCAGCACTTATCTACTGGCAGTGTTCTAAGCTTTTTACATCTAGTGTTAACCCATGTAGTTCTTACAAATTCTCTACAAGAAAGGTGTCACTAGCATTCTCCATTTCACAGGTGAGGAACTTGAAAAATCGTCAAGTGATGTGGCCAAGATCACACAGCCATTAACAATAGACTCTAGAACAGTGGTTCTCATCTAGGGGCAGCTTTGGGCCCCCCACTTACTCTCCCCCCCTGACATTTGGCAATGTCTGGAGACATTTTGATTGTCACACTTGAGGAATGCTACTGGCATATAGTGGGTAGAGGCCAGAGATGATGCTAAACCTCTTACAGTATGTAGGGCCTTACCCACACAAAGAATTAACAGACTCAAAATGTTAATAGTGCCAAGGCTGAGAAACCCTGGTTTAAGGATTTAGTTATGCTGCCCTCTCAGGAGGAACTGAAGCACTAGTAACTTCTCTATAATGATTAGTGACTATCTACATTTAATAATCTTTTTTAGAATTCAGTGGAAATTGCTTTTCTTTCAGGTGAATCAATTCCAATAAGACTATTTTTAGCGGGATATGACCCAACTCCAACAATGAGAGATGTGAACAAAAAATTTTCAGTAAGATACTTTTTGAATCTAGTCCTTGTTGATGAGGAAGACAGAAGGTACTTCAAGCAGCAGGTATGGTGCCACCCAGGCTGGTCTTTTGTTCAATGAAAAATCTGAAAATACCTGAACAAACTCATTTTTCTAAGCTCTATTGTACTGAACAAGGGGGTTACTAATAAGCAAAAACACTGAGATATTATGATAAGGGAGTAGGTGTGAATGAAGTTGTGTGGTGATAGACGTCTTCCCAGTCATTCTGCAAGACTCTAGAATGGGTTACAATTTAGCATGGTTTTCATTTTTTTCTTGAATGTTTTTTTTAATAAAAATAATACCTGCTGTTTAAAAAAAAAAAGAAAGAAAAATAAATGAGGCAATGAACAGATTGAAGTAAAGGTCATCAAAAATCCCACCTTTGGAAGGACTTCCGCCAAGATGGAGGCATAGGTGGAAACCCTGTGCCTTCTCACACAACCAAGTTTAAAAACAACAAAGTTTTAGCAACAAAAACGCAGCCAAACCACAGAAAATTGAACTATACGGAAGTCTAACAGCAACGAACCACTCAGCCAAACTGGTAAGAAGGGCAGAGCCAGCAGCAGAATGGGGTTGGGCAGGAAAGATCCACTGGACCGACCCGGGCACGGGACCCAGGTGCGCAGGCAGCAGTGGGCGGATCCCAGGTGTGGAGTAGCAGTGGGTGGACCCACTGAGGGTCGACCTCGGTCACACATTTGTGCGCAGATAACCTGCGAAGGAGTGAGCAGTGAGACTGAGACAGACCGAGCAGGTCCCAGCGGCGGGAAGCAGCAGAGGGGACTGCTATTGTCCCTCTCTGACCCCGCCCCCACATACAGTGTCACAAACCAGCAGCCTGGGTTGTCCCGCCCTGGTGAATACTTAAGGCTCCACCGCTCATACATAACAGGTGTGACCTGACCAAAAAATCATGGCTAAAATGGAAGAACAAATCAAAGCCCCCAGAGCCAATACTTTTAAGCAACCACGAGGACAGCCAGCCTATCAGATGCACAGTTCAAAACACTGGTGATCAGGATGCTCACAGAACTGGTTGATTTTGTTTGCAAATCAGATGAAAAAAATGAAGGCTACACTATGTGAAATGAAGGAAAATGCACAGGGGACCAATAGTGATCTAAAGAAAACTGGGACTCAAATCAGTGGAATGAACCAGAAGGAAGAAAAAAACAAAACAGAAAAGAATGAAGAAACAATTCCAAAAAAATGAGGAGAGGCTTAGAAACCCCCAGGACATCTTTAAACATTCCAACATCCAAATTATAGGGGTACTAGAAGGGGAAGAGAAACAGCAACAAGTGGAAAAGTTATTTGAACAAATAATAAAAGAGAACTTCCCCAATCTGGCAAAGGAGATAGACTTCCAGAAAGTCCAGGAAGCTCAGAGTCCCAAAGAAGGTGGACCCAAGAAGGAATACACCAAGGCACATCATCATTACACTAGCCAAGATTAAAATGAAGGGAAGAATTCTAGAAGCAGCAAGAGATAAGGGGACAGTCACTTACAAAGGAGTTCCCATCAGACTGTCAGCTGATTTCTCAAAAGAGACCTTACAGGCAAGAAGGGGCTGGAAAGAAATATTCCAAGACATGAAATCCAAAGACCTACATCCAAGATTGCTCTATCCAGCAAAGCTTTCATTTAGAATGGAAGGACAGATAAAGTGCTTCTCAGATAAGGTCAAGTTAAAGGAGTTCATCATCACCAAGCCCTTATTATATGAAATGTTAAAGGGACTTATCTAAGAAAAAGAAGATAAAAAAGATGAACAGTGAAAGGACAGCAAACTCACAGTTATTAACAACCACACCTAAAACAAAAGCAAACTAAGCGGACAGCTAGATCAGGAGCAGAACCACAGAAATGGAGATCACATGGAGGGTTGGCAACAGGGGAGTTGGGGGGGTGGAAAAGGTACAGAGAATAAATAGCATAGACAGTGGGGCGAGAATAGATCGGGAGGGCAAGAGCAGTGTGAGAAATGTAGAAGCAAAAGAATTTATGACCCATGCACATGAACTAAAGGGGAATGTGGGTGGGAGGGGGTGTGTAGGGTGGAGGGGAATGAAGGGGGCAAATGGGACAACTATAATGGCATAATCAATAAAATATATTATTAAGAAATAATCGTACCCTTGTGACTGATTTTTCAGACACTGTGTTTCTAGGTCACATAATGCATGTTCTTTTTCACTCAATAGTGTCTTGAATATTATCAACAAACATAAATTTCTATTAACACTTTTTTTTCAAAGATTTTATTTATCTTTAGAGGGGAAGGGAAGGAGAGAGGGAGAGAAACATCAATGTATGGTTGCCTCTCATGTGTCCCCTGCTGGAAACTGTCCTGCAACCCAGGCATGTACCCCAACTGGGAATCGAACCGCGATCCTTTGGTTCACATGCCCATGCTCAATCCACTGACTATTAACACGTTTTTAATGACTGAATTAACTTGATGGATTTGGGGGTTTCCCTTTTTTCCTTATTGATTCTATGATAAATCTCCATGAGATGACCCAGATTTCATACTTTCTTATATAAAATGTTTATTCTAAAATTTGTTCTCATTTTGAAAACAAAGCCTTTGGTGAATTTTGAGTGAAGATTGTGACTAGAATGGTGGGTTGGGTTTTTTTTTGTTTTTTTTTTCATATTCTGAACCAGATTTATAGATATTTGAATGTCACTCAAGTGTTCAAATCAATTACGTATTTTGGCCTTATTGGATAAGTATATTGCTTCCCATGGACATTCATTTGGATGTTTAAATTCTGATATGTCAGTTATAAAAAAAGCCTGTCATGACTTTATGAAGCAAATAATTTTAGGAATTCAGAAGGGATCTCAGGATAGATTAGTTAGGATCAAATTTAGATAGGCTGAGGAACAGAGTGTGGAAGAGTGCATATATAGGGGAAGATGTAGGGCAAGCTTATTTGGAGTGCATTGGAGGCAGAGTAACTCAGTTTGGCTGGTGGAGAGGTGGAGGTTCTAGGGAGGGAAGGCAGTGATATTGGTACATTGGATAATGGTTTTGGAGCTTCCTGAATGCCTGCTTGGAGGTTATCCTGTAGGCATTGAAGGCATTGAGAACTGTTGAAGAGCAGTCAAGCAGTGTTCAGTGTTTTAGATTAATCTGGTAGTGATAGGAAGGATGGATTAGAAGGGGCCTCAGGCAAGCAAGGCAGCCATCTACCAGGAAGCTATATAAATATCTAAAGTTGAAATGACAAGGACTTGAACTTGGATAGGAGTAGTGGAACAGCAAACCAAAGGACACATTTAGTGTTTAAATCAATAACAGCTAGAATGTTTGTGCCCGATTGGGTTGGTGGTGGTTGTGTGCAGGGCAGCAGACTGGGCAGAAAGGGCATTCCAGGATTAGACTGAAGAAAGCGGGTCAGTCGGGGCTTTAGTAGGGAAGAATTTCATTTTGGTTAAAATTGCAGTGGCAGTATTTTCAGTGTGAAAATTTAAGGTGTAAATAATATAAGAACATTAATTTTTGATAACTTGCTGCTTTGTTTTTAACTAGGAGATCATTTTATGGAGAAAAGCTCCTGAAAAACTGAGGAAACAGAGAACAAACTTTCACCAGCGATTTGAATCACCAGAATCACAGGCATCTGCTGAACAGCCTGAAATGTGAACTGAATAGGAGACAGAAAGAAAAACAAAAAACTCTTACAACCATTGAGATTAAGTTTGGCAGGTTAAAGATGGTTGCCGCATGTAGGGGGGAAAACACCAGAAGTCCATGTATAATAGTCTTCCTTTATCTTACAGTGCTGCGTTTATTTTATGATATAACTGAATATTCTTCATGTACATACATTTAAAAAAGTGCTTTCTTTGAAACACTGGAACTTTCTTAAGCAGCTGGTTTCTTTTTTTTTTTACTGCACACTTTGATTTGATAAGCACTCATGCATCAGTATAAACATTTTCATATGAGTAGGCTGGTATCTAATTTTGCTCTTTTTCTGCATAATGTTGATTATAAATGTATTTCTCATGCTAGTGATTATCTCTTACTCTCTATATGCAAAATTATTTTGTGTTCAAATAAAATTAGAAAACCTGAGTGGCCCTTATATCCCACAGAGATTTAAAATATGGCATCTCAGTATTTTTGTATTTTACATTTTATGTTTTTACAAATGTATTTGAGAAATGCATATGGAATGTTTCACTGTAGGTTCTTCTGGTCTACCATTCCATAGCCTCCTGAATTTATTCTCTTTGTAGCCTTCTGTGGTAAGAAGATTAATTTTTTTCCCCAAGGGGTTATGTGGCATGTCATTGCGGCCTTTTAAAAAATTTTTTATTGGCCATGTTAAGTAACTATTTGGCCACTACTATCCAGCAGGTCCATTGTATTTTCTGCAGTGTGGAGTTGATTCTATGTTGGCATTTCTGATTTGTCAAAACTACATTAATTTTCCCATTAATACTTTGAAATTATTTTTAATTTAAGGAATCTTTTTACTACATACAAGCAAATATAATTTTTTCACAAAGACTCTCTTCCCTTTTCAGGGGAGAATTTAAGGATGATGGGGGTAGTTGAGGTGGACCTGTTAATAAGCATGTAGTTATCCAGATCTGGACAATATCGTGTTTGTCAAATTGGAACTTTGGCTTGTTCAAACTCAAATTTAAATTTAATACTAATTTTAAATTAGTATTAAATCTAATACTAAATTTAATACCATTCTGCTTAAATTTTAATACTACATTCAAGTCATTTGTTCAAAGTCTGAGAAAAGAAGGCCACAGTCATGAGCGGAAGGTCCAATCTCAAATACACTAAGTGTGGGGTGTAGGAACTAAAACCTGAAGCCTGTTGTGTGAAACTACTTTCACTTATGGTCAATTGGTTTTTGTACCAATACTTTTTATACACTTCCGTGCAAGTCTGGTCAGTTAACCTTACTTTATGAGTAAGCTAAGTAACCCAAATTACATTTCTTTAAACTTACCTTACTACTACGGCACTTTGATAAAGTGGTCAGTAACCAAGTTCTTTACTGACAAAAGGTTCCATGTACCATGTGCTGGAGCATCTGTTTTACATGTAGTTACCCATGAATGGTAATGTTTTCCTTTCATGTAAGTGCCTGTTCAGAATTTCAAAACTTAAAAATGCCAAATATTTTCATGGTCACCTGCATGTAGTAATCTAGAAAATTTTCAAAGGAAATTTGAAAACCAATTGTATTCATCGAGCCTCAAATTGTGAGACCATGATGTATAATAAAGAATTTGAGAGATAAACACATGTCTCTATAGTCAATATTTGACAAAGTGGGGTATGAACATACAATGGAGTAAAAATAGTCTCTTCTATAAGTGGTGTTGGGAGAACTGGACTGGTCCATGCAAAAAGATTAAACTAGACCACCAACTTATACCATATACCGGAATAAACTCAAAATGGATAAAAGACTTAATTATAAGTCATGATACCGTAAGAGTCCTAGAGGAGAACTTAGGTGACTAAGAACTTAGGAAAACATAGGCAGTAAAAATTCACACATCCCATGTAGAAATATTTTTGCTGATATATATCTCCTAGGGCAAGGGAAATGGAAAAATAAGTGGGACTACATCAAATTAAAAAAACTGCACAGCTAAAGAAACTATTAAAAGGGAACTGACCATATGGGAAAGCATATTCACCAATGATATGTTGGACAAGGGTTTGATCTCCAAAATATATAACTCATACAACTCAACACCAGGAAGACAGTCCAGTTTGAAAACAGGCAAAGGACTTGAACAGACATTTCTCCAAGGACAGATGACACACAGACATATGAGAAGATGCTCAGCATTGCTAGGTGTCATGCAAATTAAAACAATGATATATCACACTGGTCAGAATGGTGATCATTAATAAATCAAACATGGTGAGGATGTGGAGAAAAGGGAACCCTAGTGCACTGCTGGTGGGAATGCAGGCTGGTGCAACTACTGTGGAAAACTGGAATTTCCTGAAAATATTAAAGTGGAATTGCCTTTTGATCCTGTGATTCCACTGCTGGGAATATACCCTAAGAATCCTGAAGCACCAATTCAAAAGAATTTAGGCACCCCTATGTTCATAGCAGTGCAATTTACAATAGCCAAGTGCTGGAAACAGCCTAAGTGCCCAACAGTGAGTGGATCAAAAAACTGGTACACTGACAAAGGAATACTACCCAGCAGAGGGAAAGAAGGAGCTCCTACTTTTGCAACAGCATAGATGGAACTAGAGAACATTATGCTAAATAAAATTAGCCACTCAGTGAAAGACAAACACCATATGCTTTCACAAGAGGAATCTGATGAACAAAATAACAGGCAAAATAGAACCAGAGATACGGAAACGTGGAACAAACTGACAGTGGCCAGAGAGAGAGGGAAGGAGGATGATGGAAAGAAGGGGAAAGGACTAGTCAAAGAACCATGGACATGGACAACAGTGTGGGGACTGACTGGGAGTGGGAGTGGGTGACAGAGGAGGGCAAAGGGAAAAATCTGGACAACTGTAATGCAATAAACAGTCTGAAACACACTAAGCTTGCTATTTTAATGATTAAAGTAGCACCAGGTGTTGGACTGCTGGGGTCAGACTGGACCTTGGTTCACCAACCTCAGTACTTGATTTCTGGCTAAGAATTTAGAGCTAAGAGTTGAACTATAAAAGAAAGTTTACTAGAAAGCCACAGTTAGAGGTAAAAGAAATGCTCAGAAAACAAGTTACGCAAAAGAAGGGCCCTTGGAGCTTAGGAGAAAAAGGTGAGAAAAATGCACCTTAGGGAAGGCAGGGAAAGGCCCAAGAGAGCCCCCTCTAGATCCTCAATCTTGAAAGTATTTATTTGGAGGATTCAGGGGAAGAGCCCAATGGAATATTCACCAGTTTTCCAGGTGTGTCCATTCAGGGTCATGGTCTGTACTGATTGGTACCAGGGGGGACAGTCATCAGTGCATCTTGTCCTGATGTTAATCATGGCATGGCTTGTCTGGTGTTGCCGCTTTTCTAGGCCTGTAGCTGAAACAAATGAAGCCTCAATGTTATCCTTAGGGGTTAATGCTTAAGGGAGTGGTCCTGCAAGGGCCTGCATGGGAGTCCCACAGGGTCATTTTTTAGCCCGTTCCTCCTCCAACAGGGTCTACTGCATGACTAGCAACATACCAAGGGAGGAGAAGGACAGAGGAGGGTCCAAACCACATAATCAGAAATATGAAAGGTTGTGGTTCGGGCAGGAATCCAAACTGCATGGTCAGCAATATGATAGGGGAGGAAAGATTACCCTGGGGGTGAGTTCCTTCCTGTCCCAGTTTTGCCAGATACTAGGCACCTGGGGCTTTCTGCCCTGGTGACCTGCACCTGGAGTATCCTTGTTTTGCCCTGCCCATGTCTGTCTGATTGCCAACACAAAAATAATCCTATTCTCCAATCTCTTCTCATTGTCAGCTTTATCAGGGTGGTCAGGATTGCTCAACAGTTCAGGGAGGTATAATTGTGACAACTTTTATAAATATTGTCAGTTTCCATTTTAATAGCTATACAATGCTTTTAATTAGGTGGCTTAAAACACTGTCAAAAATAGGATGCTTATTCACCTTGCTTGAGGCTTTGTTGCATAACCAGTTTGAAAAATAATAATTTAAATGTACTATTTGGTGAACTGAGCAAAAAGTTGGCCAATTTATCTTAAGTGAACTGGTAAAGAAATATCTTTATAGGGTACAATATCTAATCTAGTGGTTCTCAATCCTGGCTGCGTATTTAAACCACTTTGGCAGTTTTTGAAAATAACTATGCCAGGTCCTACCCAGACCAATAAAATTAGAATTTCAGGGGTTGGGCATAAGCGCTGAAAAAAGTTACGTAGGGTTGAGAGCCATTCAGGGGTGTCCAACCTGTGGCGCAGGATGGCTATGAATGCGGCCCAACACAAAATCGTAAGTTTACTTAAAACCTTTTCTTTGCTCATCAGTTTTCGTTAGTGTTTGTGTATTTAATGTGTGGCCCACGACTACTCTTCTTCCATGTGGCTCAGAGATACCAAAAGGTTGATACCATTTAAGTATTTTTTTCTCACTAGTGAAGAATTTTCATTGTTTTGAATTGTTGGGGAAGAAAGCCTTTTTCTCTATCTCTTCTATGTTTGGGGGCCTGCTTATTAAACTGACGAAAGAGATCAGCAAGAGAAAAAACAGATTTAGTTGAGTGTACGGGAATTCACAAAATGTGACTTAAAACAGGTGGTTAGAATTGGGGGCTTAAATATCATTTCACTGATAGGGGAAGGGGGTGAAGGACACTTACAAATGACTTAATAGGGGAATTGGGGGGAGAAAGGGCACATAGGGAAAAGCAAATGACTTTTAGGAAAAATATATGGGTTCTTAGGAGAACAGATGGTAGATGTAACAGTTTTGTGACAAAGCCTATTTAAGCATGATGTGGACTTCTGTCTGGCAGGGAGTTTCCTGGTTGCTCCCTGAGATTTGTAACAATTGAGTTCTTTTTGGAGGCTCTGCTTTTAAGAAGATAGGGGATTTCAGTAACTCAAATACTTTCTCAAAACTTTTATACCACGATGGCATATATTCTGGAATCATTCAGTATGATTCAAGAAGTTGGAATACTCAATTTTAATAACCATGTGAGTCTGTGGTCTTATATTTAATTATGTTCCTCTTATGTTCAGTTGAATCTGTTCAACATAGTATGTAAAGGAAATCTCCAAAGGTTTATACTAGCATGGATTACAATGCAACATATTTTAAGTTTCAAACCAGATGAAGCCATAGTAAGAAAATGCATCATTAAATATGTATAATTCATCCTTTTTTAGGCTTGGTGCCTAATTATGAACATAATTCTTATGTCACTCCCCTATGTAAAATCTCACAGTGCCCACTCCAGGATAGTTTAAATTCTGTATTACAAAACACCTTCAGCACCTCCCTCCTTCCTGCACTCCAGCTAACTTCTAGTAAGGCTCTCCTGGCCACTCTGGCTTGACACCATCTCCAAGTCAAAGCGATGCCTGTTTGCTGTGTAAACACCAAGGCACGCTGTGCACACCTCCAGGACTGTGTTTAATACACTTTTAAAAGAGGTAAATTCAATGAATTTTAAGCCTCTTAAAAAAAGGGCGGGGGGAGAGGGATGGGAAGGGAGGGAGAGCAACAATCACTGCGGTAAGAAACACTGACCACTGAACCCATAACGCAGGCATGTGCCCTGAGAATCAAAGCCATCTTTCAGTTTACTCAACTAAGCCAGATGGCCCAGGGTGGATTTTAAGCCTCTCGAGGGCTGAGCCTGTTTCGTTTGGTACACTGTGTGCTTATCATACACACTCAATATCTGAATAAATGGATGAACCTAATTTTCCTAGTGATTATAAAATTAAAGGTGTGCCTTAGCAAAATTTTGGTTGGCCAAAAAGTTCACTTAGTTTCTTTCTGTACAATGGCTCTAGTAATGCTTAGTTGTCTTTAACATAATTTGAAACAATTTTGTTAGATTGTATTGTGACAGCTGTCATATTAGTGTTTTAAAAAAACTTAAACCAAAATTGGCGAATTTTTGTGCAACCATTTTATTATTGAAGATGGAAGATATTCTCAATGTGTCATGCTTTACTATTTTAAGGAAGATAAAAATGCAACTGAAACACAAAAAATGATTTGTGCAGCATATGGAGAAGGGGCTGTGACTTACCAAGAGTGTTGAAAGAGGTTTGCAAAGTTTCTTAGTACTATTAACACTTTGGCCAAATAATCGTTTGCTGTGGGGCTGTCTTATGCTTTGGAAGATGTTTCCCAGCAACCTGACCTCTACCCACTAGAAGCCAAGAGCAGGAGATAGCTGACATACTCAAAATATCCAAATCAATTAAGTTGTTGGTGAAAATGCAACATGTATCTTTTATGGAAAAAACTAAACGGACCTTTTAGCCCACCCAATATACAGGCCCAAATGTAATAAAATTACTTTATCTTTGATGTTTAAAAACTATGCTGTGGGGAGGAGTATAAGGAAATTAAATGGTAATGAAAAGAATAAAAAAATTTAAAAAGTATTGTGAATCAAAGGCACATAGCAAATTATTGAATATTATTGCAATCCCATTTGACACTATTACTTATTACATGACGCATTCCTTCAAGCTGCAAGAACTTGATGTTTTAAGGAGAGGTGAAAAATCTAACAGCATTATTTTGAACGTATTAAACGTTGCAACCTCATATGACAGTATCCAACCAGTGCA